TTTTTGCTCATTTCTCGGAGGCAAAATGAGCAAGAACGCTCATTTGGACATCATTCTAGACAGAAATAAATGGCCTTTTTAGAAAGTGAACCATGGATGGGGAAATGTTGGCAGTTTTCTCAAAAAAGGCTTGAATTCAAGAAGATTTAGACTTGCGTGGTTTTTTCTGGATACTAATAAACTGAAAAATAAATAAAGTGCGGAATGAATTGTATACCAAATTTGCATGACATTTTGATAAAGCAGGTTATTTTTTGGCATCGTTGGATAAAGAATTGAATGGGGGGGGGGGTCATGACCCCCATGACTCCCCCCCTGGATCCGCCCTTGGTTTGAAGACAATTTTTGAAATACCCATCAAAAGGCTTTGGAAAAAATGGCAAAAGATTGTGTGCAACACTGACCTGCTCCTTAATATCCTGAAGTTGTTGTTGAAGTTTTTGAATATCATTCACGTTAGTGGTATCCCGTCCGCCGTTGTTCATAATCTGCCCTTGGGGCGGAATTATTTCTGAGCTGGCCGCAGGCTGTTGCGGTTTCAGCGTTTCTTCTTCCACGTCGGCTTTCACTTCACAAATGGTGCCTGCACAAACACACACATACATAAAAACATTTCATTACGAAGGAAGGCGCAACTTATTTGCTGCATGAAAAAATAACTTCAGGAGTTTTGCAAATCGAGCTAGTTGGAAAAAATTGCAAATTTGGAACCGGTCTTACCAAGCCCTCCGCTGCATACAGTCATGGGCACCATAAGTTCGATTTGCGCCCTACACAGGACACATTTCTTCATAATCTGAGCGCAACTTTCGCAAACACACATATGCCCGCAGGGCTTGAACAGCACCGCTGACTTCTTGTCGGAGCAAACCATACATTCCTCAATCTGAAATCAAATGGAGAGGATGATAGTCCTCTAGCCCTAGAGGCTGCTACGGTTGTCTTGAGACTACCTTGATCCTGCCAGAGACGGACTCTCTACATATCAAGCACTTTTTCACCCTCGGGCCGCAAGCCGAGCAACAAGTCACGTGCCCACAAGGCTGGAAAAGTACGTCACGTTTAGAGTCCGAACAAACCAGACATTCGTCCAGAGTGGAGCTGAGATTCGGACCTTGGATGTTCTGGTTCGGGCCCATGTCCATCTCGCCGCTCTGCTTCTCTTTGTGGCATTTAGTCAGCGTCTTGCACAGGTTGGGATCCGGACACAGATCAAGTGGTGTTTGACCTGCAAGCCAATCAGTGAGTCCTCCTCAACGGGCAGAGAGAGCGGATTGAGTTTAGCAACCTTTTTTGTTCTTGATGGTCAAATCCGCTCCGTTGCCTGCCAAGAAGCAGGCGATGCTTGCCGATGATTTCTTATCGGAACCTTGGGTGCCTAAGCCCATGAGCAATTTTCCAACGTCCTGGACATCTTGGAGCTGGCGCAGCTGAGAGAGGGTGTGGTGGCGAAGCGCCTCATGTAGGGGCGTGTCCCCATCTTTGTCCGCTATGTTCAAGTTGGCACCTTCTCGCACCAAAAGCTAAAAGAGAAACTCTTGTATATTCCGAGATTTGAAAGCACGTTGAACTGTAGTAAGAAATGCTTCAACTTACCCGCACGATTTGCGTATGCTGTCTTTCAACAGCCAAGTGTAAAGCAGTCTGCAAATTAACATTCTGAAGATCCATGTTGGCTTTGCCGTGAAGAACCAGCTGTTCTGCCACTTCAACGTGATTGTTTAGCGCAGCTAAGTGAAGAGCTGTATAGCCGTCGTCCTTTTTCTCATCCACGATCCATGGGCGAGGTAGTTTGGCCAGCAGAATCTTCATAGCGCTGGAAGAAATAGACAGAGTTATTCACG